CAAAGGCAGAGCCACTCAGAGGACAGTTCTGTTTCTACCACAAAGGTAAGGAGTTGTCTGATTAAAGCCATTTGATTTTTCCTTATTGAACACATATAAAGATTTAATTATCCCCCGAACAAGCCAAGAATTTTCTCTTCTCTCCCCATTCCTGTTCAAACACTGCAGAGTGTCCACTGAGTTGACATGTCATGTACCTAGCCACCTCGGCCCCACTAGACACTTAGGGGATTCTCTTTGCTGGCTATTACAGATAACACCACAGTAAACTTGCAAATAGCATTTTGTATCTGTTAAAATGAGTCACTAGCTGGGTCGGAGGGTATGTGTTGTCTTCCAAAGCTTCCATGTTTGCCAGTGGTTTGCAAACAAGAGATGATTGACAGCTGGTCTCACAGTCTGGAATACAATTCCGTGGATGTTTCTGTTTGACAGACTTACTCATCCACTTACAAATCCACTTAAAAACAAACAAAAAACCCACACAGTAGCAATTTTCCTATTTTTAAAAAATGAGATAATTTGGGGAAAACTAAACGGGAGGCAGGCCATGCCCTGCACCACGGGTGAGACTGAGGAGCTTGAAGAATGATGGGCTCCTCAGGCGTCAGTAACATCACCAGTTCTCTGGGCCCGACATTTCGTGACAAGAAATGGCACGAATGTTAGAGGATTAGTACACAACAAACAGGTCTTCCTTTGGAACTTTAAAGGCAGGATGTGTTTTTCTGTCAGGGAAATAATCTGAAATACGAAGAGATGGATTTGTGGGAGTCTCTCTTAGCCCTTGCTGAGGTTCCTGTCTGCAGCACAGAGTCTGGATGGATAAGCAAGCTGGGGACTGCCCTGACTCTGAAGGCAAGTCTGGGCACTAGATCTAGGTAGGCATATCCTGGCTCATATATCACCGAATCCCACGGAGTATTTCAAAAGGGGCTTCCTTATACTGCTGGGAGGCTGAGCCAGATTAAATCCTTTCCAACCGAGACTGTCTTCCCTAACCCAGAACAAACAGGACTCAACTGTCTCCAAGAGATACTTTATTTCTTCCTCTTCCAAGCATCATACATTCATTCCACAAAACATTTATTGAGTGAGCACCTACTGTGTGCCAAGCACTGTGCCAAGTTAGAGCAAAAGTGTACAACACAAAATACAATCTCCAAAGGAAATGGATTTAAACTTTAACAAAAGGAATTTGGGTCAGGCATCAGAGGAAACTTACTGACCGTGAGGGGCGTAAGACACAGGCATGGGAGACTGAGGGAGCTTGTGCAATCTCCTCCGCTGGAGGTCTATAAAGATAGTCTAGGGCTGGAACAATCCCACCTAGAGGCAGGGGGAAGGACCAAATGACCTCACAACATCCCTGGGTCTGCTTCAGCATCCACAATGCAATTCCCCTGGCAGGCCAGCAGCAACCCCCTCTTCCCCTCACCCACCAGAGGCACTCACCACTGAGCTCTTCTCAAGTAGGCTTTTATATAAGTGGCATCGAGCTTCACTGCACTCGTGCAGTCTTCTATTGCATCATCTAGTTTCCTAAGCTTCAGGAGAGAGAGAGCAGTCATACTTCACATCTCTGCAGACTGAGGGAACCCAGAGGCTGTGAGCATGGCTTCAAAATTCTAAGAGGATCAGTCAGGCTGGCCCCCCGAACTGTCACACTCACTCTCAGTCACTGAGAAAGGAGTGTCTCAGAGGGCTAAGGACACCAGATTCGAAACTGGTTTCTCTTCTACCGGATGGAAGCCAGGCACACTTACGTGCAGGGATAAACCACCTCTGCTGTTCCCGGGGCAGTGCCCAAATAGGATATGGGAATAGTAAGGGTGGTTCCTGCCCTCCATTCTCCCAAAGGCCAATGAGAGGGTTAAAAATTGCTCTGATTTCTAACTGCTGGCCACTGTAAGAGCAAGGATCCTGCTGCTGTTTCTCACAGTACACGCAGGACTACAGTGGACCTGTACACCGTTTCCTGCTGAGCGCGGTGACCATCACTTATGCTGGACAAAAAAACTAAGCCTGCCTCATACTCTACTTTCCTCCAAATCACTCCTAAGAAAGAAAGAATCACTTGCTTAGGCCAAAAGCAGCAATAATATTTGCTTAAAAAATTATCCCAGAGCCTCTAGGTATTCTTTTAGTGGAGGAAAGGGATCTTGAGGAAGAACAGGTAGGTACAGCCTTCCAAACTGTCCCTCAAGTGCCCTTCAATTCCACAGAGAAGGTAAAAGCTTGCCTCTCAGAAGGAAGTTCCTAAGAAGCTGAGCCTTGCACCAAAACCACCTTTTCTCCTTTCATTTGGCCTGCCCTCATTAGGCAGAATCCCCAAGACCTCTTTGATGTCCCTTAAACATATCTCCACAGGCCCCGAGACCCAGACTGAGTGCTTACCTTGGAATTAACCGTGCCCCGATTACAGTAGAGTTTAGCATTTGTTTTTATATTGTTAGGGTCTATCCCCAGGGCTTCTGTGTACAGTTCATAAGCTAGCTTGTAATTTCCTTCTTTAAATGCTTTATTCCCATCTTCTTTCTTTGCTTTCAGTGCTTTGGCATTCTATAGGAAAAAGGAAGGGGAGGTTAGTTAACATCCAGGAAACCTCACACCACTGTACAGAGAGGCCCAAGTCTATTTTCAATTTCTCAGATCCCAGGTGTTTAGCATCACACTAACCCTGACCACCACCACCCACCCTCTGCCCTGCCCCCGCCACCTGGGCTATTCGTTGCTCACTGATGCTTCCCACAGAGTGGACAGGAGAACCAAAATTTACAACAGAATACCAATGAGACTTGTTTACCCAGGGTTTACCTCCACTCCCTAGGATAAGCATTACTATATTTTCTTCACTGAGGGAAGAAAAAAAGAAAAAAACACTTAGGTATTAGAAGGATCTGACCCTGTATGATCACATTTGCCTTGAGGCAAATAAAAGTAGTTCTGAAATAATTTCTAATGAAAGGACCAAGCATCCTGGCAAGGTGGGAAAAGGAGCTATCACATTTCATGTGAATCTTGAACCTTCCACTCTTGACTCTCTTAAAGGCTCAAAAAGGAAGCTTTTGGGGCCTAGAACTTACTCTGCAAGCAATGCAGGCCTTCTCATGGTCAGGAGCCATCCTGAGAGCCTGTACAAAAAACTGAACCGCCTTCTCAATACAATCTTCATAATAAAGGCAAAGACCTCGTACATACAGAGCATCCGCATTGGTAGAATCCATTCGTAAAATGTCACTGCAATAGCCGGAAAGGGGCACATTCAGCCGTGGTTTGGATCTCCCCACCATTACTATCATTTGTGATCGCTATCGCCAGTTTTTCTCTTGACCATGTGTCTAGTATAGAAAGTATCCAAAGGTAGAGAGATCCCAATGAGCTCGTTCCATACCTTCCCCAAATAAACCACCTGTATTTACCTTTAATACACTTCATGTGTCTCAGTCTTTACTTGAACAGAGATTGGCAAACTACAGCCCACAGGGCCAAATCCTGCCTGTCACTGTTTATATAAATTAAATTGTACTGAAATCTAGCCACATCATCTGCCTATCTATTATCAATGGCTGCTTCTGCACTATAGTGGCAGAAGTGAATAGTTGTGACAAAGACTCTATGACCTACAAAGCCTAAAATATTTACTACCTGGCCCTTTACAGGGCTCACAGACCTGTGGTGTAGGAAGAAAATGACACTGAAATAAAAAACAAAAACAAAAAAAACCCACCTCACACATCTGTTCTTCGACATACAGCTGAAGTACCTACCATACTTCTATATATCTGGTAGGTTTTCAAATCCAGTCTAATTTTGTCTTTAAGTCCCAGGAAGGTCTGATTGGCTCTGCCTGGTCTACCTACAGGACATATGGTAGCTCCTGCTATAGAGTGCTGCCAGGCAGCACCTATCCAGTGGTGGGACATTTCAGTGCAGAACTGGCCTGACTTCATACCTGGCCACAGACTGTGCTTCTGGGTAACGACCTAGCATTGCTAAACATTCTGCTTTGAGGATTTTGAAGCGATGGCAGGCAGGGGCAAATTCTAGGGCACGGTCCATGCAGAAAACCACCTATGGGGAGAAGAAAGCAAATAAGGCTCTTCATTCTGGACTCTAGAAATATCTTCATTTATAAATGTCTGGCCACAGACAACAGACAGATTAAAAGGAAAGTAATATCAGAGCTTAGGAACATACCTGATTCATTTGATTAAACCACTGAAACGAGGAGAGCAATTGATCCAGATGATGATGACACGACAACAGCAAACATTTAAGTACTTTATATACTGACCCATTTAATGCTCACAATTTTAAAAAGTAATTTTATGAAGTACCTTATTTTATTAATGAGAAGCTAAAGTGCAGAGATTAAGGAATGTGTTCAAGGTCACCAAAGCTAGTAAGTGACAGAAATGGGATTCGGTCTCAGACACTGCAACTCCAGAGCCTGTTACTTTAATCACCATGCTAAGCTGCCTCCACAGTAACTGTGATCAAAATTCACATCCTTCTAGTGTAGAAATACGGTTATTTGCTACTCTGTATAATTCACCATGCTTAGCCTATTACGTAAGATAAGGATACCAAAAATAACCTGATAGAGAATCGTCGCTCCCTATATCATTTAATTGCTTACAGTTCCCTCCTTCCTGTGCCATAAGCCTCATATCTTACTAAGTACCCTAGTGGCCATCTATTTTATTTTTTAAAAGATGTATTTTGGGGAGTGCGAGCGGGGAGAGGAACAGAGGCAGAAAGAATCCTCAAACAGACTCCCCGCTGAGCATGGAGCCCGACACTGGGCTCAATCCCAGGACCCTGAGATCATGACCTGAGCCAAAATCAAGTATTGGCTGCCTGACTGAGCCAACCAGGCGCCCCTCCACTTCTATTTTAGTAGGAATATCAATAAAATAGTTGGTTTAAATGGTCCTAAAAATAGACTATCTCAAATTACTACACTTAACATGTTAATATATAAACCAAAATGCAAGTTTCTCTCTCTCTCACTCACACACACATACACACACACACATGCTGAGACTGTCTTTCAGTTTGATAAAGCCTCTCCATATATTTTTATTTTTTTTCAGAATTTTGTTTTCTGAGCCTTCATTTTTGGTTTAGCTGCTATTCCTGGGAGATCCTTGCTGAATCATATCCTTGTCAAGGATAAATGACCCAAAGGAGCAATGTGGAATTAAGAGACACCCATTCGGTCTAAGAATCTGGCCATGGGGATCAGGAAGAAATGAAGTCTGAAAACTCAAAAGCATTAATAGGTCAAATTCCAGCAAAAAGGCAACTGGTTAGACATTCATGTAATGGAATACCATGTGGCTCTAAAACAAAATGAAGCAACTTTCCATGTATTACTACAGAAAGACTTCCAAGGTGTACTAAGTGAAAAAAAGCAAGGCACAGAATAGTGAAACGCATACGACCTTTCGTGTAAAAAAAGGAAAATCAGGACTCTATATTTCTATTTGCTTATATACGTACAACAAGACTGGAAGGGAACAGAAGAAACAAGACCAGAGATTACTTTAGGGGGTGAGAACTAGGTAGACAGAAGTTTGGGGGAATACCTATCACTGAATATCTGTTTATACTTTTAGCTTCCCCCGCCCCCAACCAATACTTCTAACTTTTGAACAATGAATAGCACCTATTCAAAAATTTAAATTTGAAAATATGCAGAAGTAGGGAAACACCAAGAGCTGCTCCACTGGAAGACTGCAGTGTTCACAGAGCAGTGGTGGGGAGGACTCTCTTTCAGGGCACAGGTTACTATTTTTGGCACTGGCCAAAAATCTAAAAGGAGCCTCTATTTTTTATGCAGACCTGCATCTAGTTCACATAAAGCAGGGTCAAAGCTAGCTCTCATTATTCAAATTAGAACTAGAAGTTCTAAGGATTCTATGAAAGTTCAGATATCATGTAAGATAGAGTCATGGTGCTAATTTTTCCCCCTTAAATAGAAAAAGAATGGGGGGTGGGAGAAGCAGTCAGTTGTAAGCAGCCACACTCTGTTGCCTTCGCAACGTTCTATAGGGAGATGGTTCTGCTCATCGGGTCAGTGGCGTGTCAGCTGAAGGCTTAGTGCTTCACTTCCCACCCCCCACTCCCCATGACTAGGGACAGCTGCAGGCAAAGAAGATCTTTGTTTCTTCCAAGTTCATCTGTTTCCCCTGCCAGGATCATAATTCTTCATTTGTGACATCACCATGAGCTACAGTGGGGGGGCTGGGATGTCACAAACAGAGGATTCTATCACAAACTGGGGATTCTGGCTCCAGAGTGGGCAAGAGAGAAAAGAAACTCAAAAGACTGCCTTTTGAGACAAAGCTTTTGCCTATGTAAACCTCAGAAAACGTGACAAAAGGAAAACACACACACATACACACACACAAACTTATGAATCAGAGTACAAAGACACTGTGGTTATTAAAACCAATGGACAGAAGAGGGATGCTAATAAGTTAATGCTGGGACTCTGCATAAGCTAATCAGAAATATTTATTACCAAATAAAAGACCTGCACAGTTTGTGACTTAAGAAAAATTAAGAATAATTCTTAACTGTACCCTTTTATCAAACGTTTATTGAGTACATTCTATAGGAAGCACTGAGCAAATTCCCACATATGAAGTAACAACTCTATTCCTTGGATGATACAAACCTCTTTTAAGTGATCCTGAAAATTGACCCTAATCTGTGGTTTTTACCTTTTAGGAGGCCAATCACCTCCTTTTTGAAATTCTAATGATTAAAGTTACTTCCAAATATCATCTAAAGCAGGGAATTAGGAATTATACAGATGAGACATAACCACTATTAACAAAATCTAGAAAGGTATCTAGAACTTTTGTACCTTTCCCATGTTTTCAGGTAGGTCAACCCCTCTGGCGCATTTTCATGGACTCACACAGCTCCATCAAGAAGAGCAGTGTGCTTTCACAGAAAGGCCTAACATCAAAATAGTAGTGATGACAGGTTACGTACACTGGCGAAAAATCTAAAAGGAGCCTCTATTTTTTATGTAGACCTGCATCTAGTTCACATAAAGCAGGGTCAAAGCTAGCTCTCATTATTCAAATTAAACCAATATCCAAACCTAATATGTAATTCCAACTAGTATCCCCTCTATTAGCCAGCACACTCATAGGAGACGATCTTGTATCAAAAGCAGAAACAAATTCAAGTAAACTCACATTGCTTTTTATCATACAGCCAAATAAAATTAAGAAAGTAAATACCTTGGCAAAAAAGTTTGTTAGATGCTGGTGATGATGTGGAGTAACAGGAACTCTCATTCATTGCTAGCAGGAATGCAAAAATGGTATGGCCATTTTGGTAGTTTCTTGCAAAACTTAACATACTTTTACCACACAATCCAGGAACTGCACTTCTTGTTATTTACCCAAAAGAGGTGAAAACTTATGTCCACACAAAAACCTGCACACAGATGTTTATAGCAGCTCTATTCATAACTGTCAAAAATGTGACTGTCAAAAACTAATGATGTAATGTATGATTAACGTAATAAAATAAAATTTAAAAAAAAAGTCACTGTAACATATGTGCCTCTGGGGAGGCCCGGGTGGCTCAGTCAGTTAAGCATCTGCCTTCGGCTCAGGTCATGATCCCAGGGACCTGGGTTGAAATTCCGCATCGGGCTCCCTGCTCAGTGGGGAGTCTGCTTCTCCCTCTCCCTCTGCCCTTTCCTCCTGCTCATGCTCTCTCTCTCAAATAAATAAATAAAATTGTAAAAAAAAAAAATTGTGCCTCTGGTGGGGAATGTTGATAATGGGGGAGGCTATGCACGTGTGGGAGCACGGGGATATGAGAACTCTGTACCTTCCTCTCAATTTTGCTGTAAAACTCTCTTTCTCTCTAATAAATAAAATCTTAAAAAAAAAGGGGGGTGCCTGGGTGGCTCAGATGGTTAAGCGACTGCCTTCGGCTCAGGTCATGATCCTGGAGTCCCGGGATCAAGTCCCACGTTGGGCTCCCTGCTCAGCGGGGAGTCTGCTTCTCCCTCTGACCCTCCCCGCTCTCACGCTCTCTCTCTCTCTCTCTCTCCTTCTAATAAATAAAATCTTTAAAAAAAAAAATTTTTTTTGCTGTGAACCTGTTCTTAAAAAAATAGTCTTTAAAAAAAAAGAAAGAAAAGAAAAAGGCAAAGTCAAACTGAAGTGGTAATTTATTATTCTGGATCTTCTGTACCATACCACACACACACACACCCCTTCTGCAACATACTATACGTGCGCATGCGCGGCAGTGTGATAAAGGGTAGATGAGATTTCCCCATAGTTGTACTTTACCTTCCGAAAATCCCGCTTCTCAAAATCCGTTTCTGCTATTTTCTCATATTCTATGACTGCATTAGCATTCTTGAACTATGCCAGAAAATCAGATAGGGAAAGTTTTAATGAAGTTGTAGATTTAACAACCACAAAAATCAAGGCTTTGATGAATTATGAGTTCAAGAAAATCAGAACGACAGACTTCTCACAAATCAAGTTGGTGAAGATACAGCCAAGACTCCTAAAAGGCAGGCTAAAGCCCTACCTGCAACCTCAGTTTGAACTTCAAGCCAGGAACACCAGAGTGGTGCTTTGATAGACATAAATTAAAGGCACGGCATTATCAGAGGTTGAGCAGAAGCTTCCAGATTCTCACTAAAATGCATCCAGGAGTAAATTGGGTATAAATGGAACTAAAACACATTTTAGCTGCTACTGATTTAATCGGGATTTGAATTTACTCAAATTCTTTAACCTCACTCAAATCAGTTCCTTGCAGCATCTGCCTGCTCCTCAGCCATCTCACAAACCCTACATTTCACAGATTTCTAAAGCTATAAATCATATTCAAAAGTCTTACAAATCATATTCAAAACTCTGTCTACATATAAGAAAGTGAGGCTTGGACAGACTATGAGACTTGCCTACAGTTACCCAGATGTGGCAATGGCAGAAGTGAGATTAGCTCTCAATTCTTTTTATTTTTTTTGGTAGCTCTCAGTTCTGACTTTCAGGTCACTATAACACAGTGTCCCTTTCCATACAGACAAGATCAGAACCATACCTCCTGTTGTGCCTGAGCATTTTTGTGATCCAGTTCTAGGGCTCTCTGGAAACTACGACATGCTGCCATGGCATTCCCTAGAGATAGGTGGCATTTTCCCTCTCGTAGATGTCCCTAGAAGAAATGCAAAGAGCGAAGAAAAGGAGCATGATTGGCCAAGCAGAGAGCAATCAACAGCAGGAACAGACACCCACACAAAACCCAACATGGGATGAAAGCAGCCAGTTCTCACCCAGGGGAGACCCCGCCCTCCATGGGACGGTTAGCAACATTGGAGACGTGTTTGGTTGTCACAGCCGGGAAGGTAGGGGTGCTACTTATACCTAGTGGTTAAAGAGATGCTGCTAAACATCATACAATGAACAAGATAGCCCTCCCCAACAAAGAATTATCTGGCCCCAAATGTCTACAGTGTCAAGACTGAGAAGCCCTGGGCTAAAGGAAAGCAACTGCAGCAACCGGTCCTCCCCAGATGGTCGCATTACGTACCCGGACAAAACTGTCATCCAACCTCACTGACTGTTGTGCATCTCCAAGAGCTTCCCGGAACTTTCCGAGCATCATCAAAGTGGCTGCTCGATTCCCATAATAGCTAGCATTTTTAGGACACATATCTACAGGAAGGGCAGAATAAAATAAAATAAAGCTTAGCACGGGTCACTGCTTCAAAAACTCAGGGGCCCTCTCCCCTCAGAACTACATCAAGGCAATCAAACTATAATAGAAATGCTGACGTACTCTCTTTAAAAGGCCATGGCCAAATTTTTGACTACCTGTGCAAACAGACAGCAGCAATAGTATGACCTATTAAAAAAATAAAGTTACTTAAAAATAATTTATAATAGCTTTAAAGTGCACTAATTATTCTTTAAAGGGGAGGGGTCAGCATATTTATCTTCTTAATGAATATTATATATAATAAGAAATGAAAATGAATTTGCATTTGTTGAATTAGGGGTGGAGAGCCTGTAAGCAAGTTAAGTGAGAAATATGCTGACATGGGATTAAAATATGCTGGCAGATGGAGCATGGAAGTTGTTAAGACTTGATAATTAATATCTATAAAGGGCCATTTTCTTTTTTTTTTAAAGAGTACTCTTTTTTTTTTTTTAAGATTTTATTTATTTATTTGACAGAGAGAGACACAGTGAGAGCGGGAACACATGCAGGGGAGTGGGAGAGGGAGAAGCAGGCTTCCCGCGGAGCAGGGAGCCCGATGTGGGGCTCAATCCCAGGACCCTGAGACCATGACCTAAGGCAGACGCTTAACAACTGAGCCACCCAGGCGCCCCATACAAGGGCCATTTTCTAACATGGTTAAATGAATTGGAAATGGCTGAGATGCATTTAGGTGGGTTATTTTTTTGCCATATCTAGAATTCCTGGAATTGCCTTTGTCAAATGAAGAACTACCCATTTATAAGTCATCCCTCATAAGCCAATTAAGTCCAAAAGAGTTCGCACAGTAAGTGATGAACCCACTAAGCCAAAGGCTACTTTTTCAAGAGCTGCTATGTGTAACAGTACTCATATCGAGCAAATTTATCTTCCAACAGAAGCAGGAGATCCTTCTCACCTATGGCTTTTGTATAATAGTTATAAGCTTCATTGTAATCTTTCTTGGCATAGTATGCGTTTCCTTGTTCCTTGAAAGACTCTGCTTCCCTGAAAAGGAAAGAGAAAGAGGAGCATATTATACACAGGGAATAACCTCTGTAATCTCATGGGAGCAATCTTTGGTCTAGAGCCTCGGGCATATTGAGCTGAAAGTTAGTGCAATACTTGAAGGAATTTATAGATTTGTTCGACGCTATTTTTCTTGTCACTTAGATACATTCAAACCAAATCAAGAAAACCTCTCTCGTGTGGCCTGCCTTTCCTCGTTATTCCTGCCGATAGTTATATCCCATACACCAAGCAAATTCAGACATCCTCTCACAGAGACTGAAATTTTTTAAGTTTATTTATTTATTTATTAAGTAATCTCTACACCCAACATGGGGCTCAAACTCATGACCCCCAGATCAAGAGTTGTATGTTCCTCCAACTAAGCCAGCCAAGTGCCCCTGAATTTTTATGTTTACTTCCTTTCCCGTGTCACAACTGCTGCCTCTTCAGCAAACATAAAAAAAAATCAGTTACAGATCACTCCATTCAGGGGCAATGATTTTTCTTTTTTTTTTTTTAAGATTTTATTTATTTATTCATGAGAGACAGAGACAGAGACAGAAAGAGAGAGAGAGAGAGAGAGAGAGAGAGAGAGGGAGAAGCAGGCTTCCAAGGAGCCTGATGCGGGACTCGATCCCAGGATCCTGGTATCATGACCTGAGCCGAAGGCAGACGCTTAACCATCTGAGCCACCCAGGCGCCCTGGGGGCAATGATTTCTTAATGTGAAAGGGGTCACATCCCTAGAGTTCTAATGATTTATTCTCTTGAAAACTGGCTCATGCATTTGTCACTGAAAGGACAAGCAGAGCAAAAGCAGATGGCAAAGGAGTTAAACACATAGCATATTGGTGTTTAAGATGGAGGACGGAGTTGAGTGACAGCAGAGACCAAGAACTTGGGTACAGGGACATATGAGGTACAGCCTGCCAGTGCCATGCTCTCAGAAGTACCCACCTACTGACGTTCTCTCTGCCTATCACATCTATGTGGGTACTTATGCTACCGTTTCTATAGTATCTTGTATAACCACCAAGTGGATAATATCAGAATTTCTGCCCTACTCCAAGATCCATTTTTGAAGCTGTGCCATTAGACAAATTGTACTTTCCGGAAGGAACAATGTTATGTAAGGAGAATTATATTCCAGATCAAGGAACAAGAATCGAATAAGACATGACCAACAATGTTGTAAAAAACTAGTAACCTCTACCAAAGATACCCCCAAATCATTCTAACGACCAACTTGAGTGACAAAGATAATTCTTTACCCAAGTGATTCCTGCAACATAACGTAATTATCTGAGCATTTTTGTTATAAGAATCTTTGTTTCTTTTTCTGTCCTCTACACGTCCAAAAAAGGATCCAGTTCAAGGGAAGCAGGGACAATTCTTAACATGGTGATGGTATGGGAGTTTACAGCTTGAGTCTATGGACATCGGCACTGGGAAGATTTGATTCGTGTACTTACGTATTTTAAACTACAAAGTGGCAAAGCCGCCCTCCTTTTATTGAGGCGATCTCCCTTTCCATTCTTCTCCAGCACTGTCCTGGCAAGCCCTACTAACATGAAAAGGCTGCTAGAAGAAAGGAGAAGGAAAATGGGAATGATCTATAAATGTTGACAGATTTGAACTGTGATGGACATAAATCTGTTTGAATAATTTACACTAACTGGTACAATGCTATAAAGAGGCCATCTGCTATTAAAAGTCCTCAAGAAGGAT